GGTTCAATCTTAATACCTTAAACTAAGGGCTAAATATGTCTTAAGACTCCTAATTCAAATTCACATTCAAGAATATTCTTTATTATTTGGAGTTTCCATTTTAAATGCATATATAAGCACAAGTAGAGAACCACAGAGCCACTTTCAGGAACAGATGCTTAGTAGTCACGTCTGCTTACAAAATAATTAACTTGCACATACCCAGGCATTCTCATTCCTCATGGATCAACAATTTTTCATACTTGCTTATATCCTGAACCTTCCAGTTAACCAACTGGTCGTTTTATCACAAAGGCTAATAAACTAATGAATGCCAAAACTAATATATACTAAATATGAAATTTAGTATTTTAATCCTTAGATCTTCAATTGCTCTTGTCAGTTTCACACATTATTAACTTGCCTAGGAATCATAAAAAATATTTAAGTATAGAAATATTTAGCCTTGTTAACAAGTGCATTTTTGCTTGTTCATTATTATATATTTTTACTTACTCTCTTTTACATTAAGAACTGAAACTACTGGTACAGAATCCTTTTCTTCATTCTGATTATTGCTTTACTTTTAACATGGTATTTCACAAAATTCTATCCAATTTTAGGAACAACTATAAGGCACCATTATGATATAAACAAAATGTGGCTTAAGATACGTGGTGCATATCTTATGACATTACCTCATATTTGGACTTCATTTTTTTTTTTTTTGGTGATAGTTGTAAGAGGTAGTTCTCCTTGAAATACTGAAGTGTTGGTGTTTGTCAATGGCAGGGGGTTAAAATCTGAATTAAGAAAGGTGAAGCTCAAAATGGCATGTGACTGGTAGAATGTCACAAAACTCATAAGTAGCCACAGAAATAACATACTAAGACTGTTTATATAATCCCTTTTGTTTTTCTGATAGACTTATATCTATGTTCTCAGATTTTACTAGGAAAAGCCATGTATGTTAGGATGAGTTTTGTTCTGTTTTACAGTTCAAGAATCATTGAGAGTGAGAAATACATCCACGTAGGCACACAACACATGTTGTGTGATTTCAGGTCCATATTATGTCACTCCGTAGTAAAGTATCTTACAGGCTGAAAAGGAAATTCCCTATGTCTACATATGTAAGGCTTTTAATATATATATGTCTTAAGAAAAGAATTGTTTTGGGACAGCCCCAATCAGATAGAAAAGTGATGTTTGTTATAGTAGAGGAATCTTTGAGAGAGATGTTTCAGAACTATGGTTATGGTTGTTTTTATTATTGAACCAGTCAAAATATTTGTTCTTTAAAACATTGTACTTAATGGCAACCAGTCCAAGTGCCCAGTTTTCTTGTAGTTGTCAAAGATGTTTATGTTTCTAAGATAGCCTCATGTTAAAAGATAGAATGAGTTGCATATATTACAACTCAAACTGCATTATGACCAATTTTAAGAAATCCTTCTGCCACAGTGATGGCATGGAATACTGATAACACTTGAGGCATAGAAATATTTTGGTTGTTTGACCTGTATTCTAATTATACCTTGAAATTTGTACTAAAAATTATAAGAAAACTTTTATTATTTTAAGTGGTCTTTATAGTATTTCAAGAATAATATTTTCAAGGTCGGGGAGAAAAGATATTTTCAATATGAGAAAGAAAACTGACATCAGTGTCAGTTTTTAAACTCTTATGATACGTGCATTAGTAGAACACTTAAGCTGTCTTTTGAATTTCTATATTTATATGTGTTTGTATAAATTTTTTAAAAGCAGCTTCTGAGTTTCTTAAAACATTATGTTCTGGTGTACACCTGAAACTAATGTAACATTGTATGTCAACTATACTTATGTTTTTAAAAAATTGTGTTTAACAAATAGAATGCTTTTTTGGGCCATTTAGGACTCAGTGGTTTAAATTTAAATATAAGGGTTATCTCAAAATATATTGGTTATGATACCTTGACTCGTAATATAAGCACTTATCATTAAAACTATTTGTGTATTTTTGTTATTTAGTTTGTAATGTTGAATTATAGTCAACTTGAAAATCACATGTGTCACTTTGAAAATAATCACTGGTCTCTGTGTCAAGGACTTAAAACAAATCCAAGCAGAGACGCACTACAAAGCAGGTAGTGGATTGAATGAAAGTTAAACAAAAGCATGGGAAGGTTGTGGGGTTTTTTTAAGTTACTTATTTATTTTAAGCAAACTCTACACCCAATGTGGGGCTCAAACTCAGGACTCTGAGATTAAGAGTTGCACAAAAGCATGGGAAAGTTTTTAATAGGTTCTGTCCTTCTTTGGCTTAGTATTCAAGTAAAAGTGCTTGAAGAAACTTTTGAGATTATTCATTACCAGCTAATATATTTTTGCCTCATTTAGTAATAATTCATTCAAGAAAAATTTAAGTACTCTGTGCCAAACATTTGAAGGATCAGAGTAAAAAAACCAAGAGGATAAAAACATTTGTTAATATAGGCAAAAACATGTTTTATTAATCATGTGTACATGCTGAGTGCTGAAGATATATATATAATTGATTTTATGGTTCCTGCTCTCATGAAAGTCTCAGTCCATTTAGCAAGACAGACAAACTAAAATTAAAGTTACACTATATTATAAAATAAGTGCTGTAATAAAAGTGAGCATTATGCAATATGGAAACATACAGGAGGAAACACTATAAGGAAATCTAGGAATCCTGAATCTTGATGGTTTAGTAGAAGTTAGTAGGACAAAGAAGGTATGTTTCACATAGATGGAGTGATACTGAAAATTTACAGAGTGAGAGATTGCATGGAGGTCAAGGAACCACAAGTAATTAAATGAGGCTAGGATGGAGTCAAATAAAGGTATTAGCAAAACATAGGCTACCTAGGTAGCAAAAGACAGATTCTTTCAAAAATTTGAGATTTTAATCTGAAATTGCTATTAAAGGATTTATAGCAAGGAAGTGACATAATTAGATAAAAATTTTACAAAGATCACTCTGGATGCTACTGGAAAAGGATTTTCAGTTATATTTGGAAGCTCTTTGCAAGATAAGGATACATGTAAACAATTAAGTGAAAACTTTCAAAAATTATTTGTGTTTGTACAACTTCGTTCTTAGTTTGGTAAAACCATAAATTAGGTTCTTTGTATAATGCTGTTACAGACAGTAGTGGGATATCATATTCTTAGTATAACCCTGAACTGATCAAATACAGGGATTTGAAAAAAAAATACAAGGATTTGAAAACTAATTGTTGGAAATGCTGTCAGACTGCTTCCTCTTTGCCTCATTGACTATATAGTGTTGATCCTATTTGTACTAAATCAGATGATACTGCTAAGTGATGGCATTTAATGTAGCTATGGTGTGTTCTGGGTTGCCTGGCCCTACCTCTAGTCCTGCGTTTATAACTAAAAGAACATATAATGCAAAAGGAAAAGAGAATGAATCTCAAAAGGTGTATAAGATTATGAAAGGTTGAGGTATAAAAGAAGTTCAGAAGTAGGAAAGTATCCTTTCCCAAATTGCCTCCTACACTGTAACTTACCTCTGTCTTCCTGCTCACGTAAAATTTGTTACTGCTGAAAATGGCTTGAAAATTACACTAAGGTCTATGTAGTCTAACCAGACACTTTTAGCTGTTTTTATATTTTCATTGCCTAAGAATTATATAATAACAAATTCCATGATATTATAAATAGTTCTCCCTTTTTGCCTTATGATTGGGGCCAGATTACCAATATGAGCTGTATTATTTTTATTCCATTGAAAATATCAAAATAGATATTATAGTTACTTGAGTAAACATAACATATTTGAAACCACAAAATAGAACTTTATAATTTATTTCAAAAAATCGAACATGCCTAATTTTGAAATTTTAGCCAAACAGTACATGGTATATAGACATAGTTTATGGTACCCAACTTAGTGGCATGAACCCAGCAGGCTGAACTTTTCATAGCTACCAAGACTTTAATCCCAGACTATTAATCCAAATGAGTGGTAAGCAAGCTTTGAAAAACCTTGATTTCCATTCATATAAATCCGAGCTCTCATAAGAATGAGTTTTGAATCCTTTACATGCAAGCAACTACCTTCATTTAAGTACTTTGCCAGTTGACTCCCAAGACAAACGTCTTCCTGCAGCAAAAGAAAGTGACCTATATGACCATATGTCTGTCAGTCATTACATATTCTATTTGATGATTCTAGACATCTAATTGATAAAGTAATACTGGATTTATAATTAAGTCAAATTGTATGGTATTATCAACTTAAAATTATTCATCTTGAGATAAAATATTGTGGAAAAACTATATTTCTGCCATCTATTTTATTTTAAATCCTAAATTATTTAATTCTAAATGGAAAAAGAGATGGACAATGAACTTATTCATAGTTTTAATCTTGCCATAAAGGAAAATTGGATTGTTATGGTATTGAAAACTTGATTTAAGAACACACTTACCAGAGTTCACATAACAAAAGTTGGTTTCCTCAGGCTCAGCTAATCTGTACTGTCCCTTCTAAAAATGGTTGACCAAATGGAAAACGTAAAGGCTGCTCTTTCATGATAAGGAATTGACAATGGAAGCAGTAAATACCTCTTTAAAGTTAATTTCTTGCTTGCACTCTATCTCAGTTTTTACCTACTCAGGCTAATTTGCAGGTGCCTGGGATGAGTAGACAATCCATAATTTCTACCAATCAAGTAAAAGAAGGAAAGAAAACTCTGAGCTTCTCTCCCAGTTAACAGGTAGTTTGCTGTGGTTAAAATTAACGCAGATTTTACAGCAACAAATATTAGCATTTTCATTTATTATAAGTAATTGATTTGAAATTTGGGAAATGAATAGTTGAGTGCATCATTTGAGTGTTTATTTGACCAGTTATTTATTAGTTCAAGAGCCCATCATTTAAATTTTTCTCTGTATATTATGGCAAGTCAGTTTGTTTCTCTCTTCATTTTAACATGTTTAATGTGTGGTTACTTTTACTTGAAAATGTGTTTTATTCTTTGCAGTGTTTGAGCAACACACCTCCACTTACTGAATATTTCCTCAATGATAAGTATCAAGAAGAACTGAATTTTGACAATCCTTTAGGAATGAGAGGTGAAATAGCTAAATCTTATGCTGAATTGATCAAACAAATGTGGTCTGGAAAATTTAGCTATGTCACGCCAAGAGCCTTTAAGGTTAGTACAGTAAGTACATTTTCAATAAGGGCTATATCATCCCCAAGAGGACAAAAGTAGGTTCTTTGGGGAAGGAGTGAAAAAAATCATAGCTGTTAAATTGATTTGTGGCCCTCCATAGGGACTCAACACAAATAGATACACAGTACTGTGCTGTTAAATTTCCTGGGTGGGGGATGGGACAGATAATTACTTTAAAATGTCCAAAAAGGTTCTGGGGGATGGGGAGGGAAATAATGAAATATTGGAAAACACTGATATGGTACAAATGACAAGAGATAGCAGAGCATATGCAGGTTGCTTTGGAATACAGTACATATCTGAGAAACCTACATAAATTTTTATTACAAATGTAGAGGCTGGGGCGCCTGGGTGGCTCAGTCGTTAAGCGTCTGCCTTCTGCTCAGGTCATGATCCCGGGGTCCTGGGATCGAGCCCCGCATCGGGCTCCCTGCTCGGTGGGAAGCCTGCTTCTCCCTCTCCCACTCCCTCTGCTTGTGTTCCTTCTCTCGCTGTCTTTCTGTCAAATAAATAAATAAAATCTTTTTAAAAAAAAAAAATGTAAAGCCTAAATTTGGGCATGTCATTGAAGTCTAAGAAACTCAATTTATTTTGAGAGTCGTTGTAAGTTTGAAAAGTTATTGAAATGAAACTAGTCTGCAAAACCAGCACTACGTATTAATTATTTTCAATATAATCCTTAAGCTTTTAAGTTTATTTTTATTCTTACTATTCTATTATTGTGAATAAACTTATTTGTTTATTCTTATTCTTATATGGTTACCTCTTAGGACCAATAAAACCTCAAGTAATTTAGTTTGTCATTCAAATAAGAATTGAGCTGAAATTTAGTTTTATATAGTTAAAAAAGTTTTCCTATTTTTGTAAAAGATTTTTATTTATTTGACACTGAGATAGAGCAGGGGGATAAAGTTTTCCTATTTATTACAGGTGAGTTCTGTTTTAAAGAAAAGCAGTTTTCAGCTATTTTTTAACACAGACAACTTAAATGATACTCATATAGGACATCTAGGCAACATTTTATTAACTATATACTAGTTCTTAAATAAAAAACAAATCAAACCACTACTGCATTTATCTTTAAGTTTCTAAGCTTTGGACAAGCTAATTTAGATAAACTATTTCTCAACCCTTACCCATGATTCCAATTAGTTTTATTTTACTAGATACTATATTAAGATTATATGTAAACAGGCTCTTGATATCTGACTTTTTCTTTCACATTTCTTTTCAGTTTTATAAAAAATAAATAGTACTGCAAAGACTAGGAAAATTATATATGAACACAAACATTCCTGTTATCTCTGAGATTTATCTTCTTTTTACACACAGAAACTAAATGAGAGCTTTGTAATTTTTTCTAGTGACCCAGAAGTATTATTGAATTTTATATTTCCAAATCCTTTGTACAAAACTTTACCATGTTTTCTCCTTGTTCTTTCCTCAGGTCTTTTCTATATTACAGATCAGTTACTTAAAAAATGTTTTTAGATATGTAATTATCTATTTGTATTTATGTATATGTAATTACCGTATCTGCAAATGACTGCAGAAGTGCCACAAGTTGATTTGGGGGTTACAAATAAATGTTAGCAGTTGGTGAATTCACAAAATATGAAATCCGTGAATAATGAGAATCAATTTTTTTTTAATCAGTCTTGTCCCTATAACTGATTTTATAGTTTTGCTTTCCTTACAGACACAAGTAGGACGTTTTGCACCTCAGTTCTCTGGATACCAGCAGCAGGACTGTCAAGAGCTATTAGCTTTCCTGTTAGATGGATTACATGAGGATTTGAATAGAATTAGGAAAAAACCATATATACAATTAAAAGATGCGGATGGAAGGCCAGATAAGGTAAATTTAATGATATTATTGTCACCACTGTTACAATAATGTGATATCTCTGTGTAATATGTGTCTGTTTTTCTTACAGATAGTTGCTGAAGAAGCCTGGGAAAACCATTTAAAAAGAAATGATTCTATCATAGTAGATATATTTCACGGCCTTTTCAAATCAACTTTAGTTTGTCCTGAATGTGCTAAGATTTCTGTAACATTTGATCCTTTTTGTTACTTGACACTTCCATTGCCCATGAAAAAAGAACGCACCTTGGAAGTGTATTTAGTTAGAATGGATCCACTTACCAAACCTATGCAGGTAGGTCATGATTATTTTCTTTGCATTTGTTTCTTTTATAAAAACTTAGTATTGAGACCTTGTGTCTCAAGCACAATTCAGTAGTAAGTTTATTTGTGTAGGAGATTTTATAAGCTAAATACTTTGGAAATTAGTACCAATTTTTAGGGTCTTGAAAAGGTGAGGGATGTGTAAAGTATCATTATTTGTAAAAACAAAATTCTCAAAGGCTTTTTCTTATGAAAGAAAAATGAGAGGTTCAGTTTTACAATGTTAGGATAAATATCAGCTTAACAAAGATTAATAACATTATTTTTCCTATTTTCCAACTTGAACTTTAATGTTAATTATTTTTCTAGTGGCTGTTGGAAGGAAAACTAATACCATACATTTTGATTCATGATTTGATAATGGTATACTTAAATACCTATAATTTTTAGGCATCTTAAGAACTTGGAAGAGAAATAGAAATTTAGTTCAGCTATAGATACTTGCTTCACTAATGTTCTAAGCAAAGCACTGTATTTTCTCCCTTCATTTGTCAATTAATCCTTTTCTGACACTTGAACCACCCTAATAAAAGTAGTTCTTCCTCTTCTACCTTCAGTTCAATTCTGTTATCGCATTTATTAAATTTTATTATGACCTTTGGTTTACTTACCTTCTCTCCACTAGACCATGAGTTCTTTAAGGATAGGGACTTTGTAAATCTTTGTATTTCCAACCCCCATGACTTGTAGTACTACTAAAGCAGAAATATTCAAAAATTATATTCATTGAAATATGTGTTGGGCACCTCGTGAGAGTATAAAGCTGTTTGGCAAACAGAGCAGACATGGTTCCTGCTTTAGAGCACTGTTTACTGAAGATCTTTAGCTTAGAGTTCCAGCCAGATAGTGCAGTTTCTTAGAGCATAGTAGTTATATTAGTCCGCTCAGGCCTGGCATAACAAAATGCCATAAACTGAGTGGCTTTAAACAACAGAAATTTATTTTATCACAATTCTGGAGGCTGGAAGTCTAAGATCAAGAGCACCAGGATGGTTGGTATCTAGTGCAGACTCTCTTCCTGGTTTACAGACAACCTTGTCCTCACTGTATTTAGAGACAGAGCAGAGTGAGAGAGAGCACCTGTATGCACATAAGCTCTCTGGCATCTCCTTATAAGGGCACTAATCTCATCATGAGGACCCCACCTTTTTGATCTCATCTAAACCACCCTAAAGCCCCCTCCACATACCATTACATTGGTGGTTAGAGCTTCAACACATAAATTTTAAGGGGACACAATTCAACCAATAGCAATATCATGAGATCTGTAAGAAAGGTCTGCTTTTGATAATCTTAACATTAATTTAGTGGAAGTGTCTGGGTTTACTGTCAACAAGGACACCATAAATGAAGTGTTCATAATAAAAGTATAGTCCTTTCATTCAAAGTAATTAAAGTCTAGTAAAGACTAGTCATGCACTTAGTAATGCAGATTTTCCCTATTTCTTTTGCTCCTTCTTTATATGTTTCCTTCACGAACTCATTGAACTTGATACCCTCATGTCAGTATTTCATTCAGTAGTACTAAGAATATTGAGCAGGGCCAGGAAAGGCCTGCTTTTATTTTTGGCTGGGGAATATATGTTCACATTTCTAAAATCACACCCTTTAATAAGCATAGACTTGTTAACGTTCTTTTCAATGGAGGGAAACTATAGCAACGCTAAACTACACTCTTACCTGTCTAGTTTGTAAGTTTGTAAATATATGCCAATGAATATAATGGAATGAGAGAGAAGCATAAAACAATAAGTAAAAATTTGTCGCAACAAAAAAATACACTTTTTCTACAGTACATTTGTTAAAGACAGTACTTTCCCATGCTAGTAATACAAAGTAATCTTTATTACATAGGGACAGATTGCACTCAAATTTCACATTAGCCTATAAGGCATGTATTGAATGTTCTCCCATAATTTGGGTTTTAAATTGTTTTTCCAGTAATATCAATTTCATTAGTATACCTCTTTTCTCACTTGGTGGCCAAAACTACCAATTTGTGGAGATTGGAGCCATGGTCAGCACAGAGGAATTGGGCATTTTTTTCCTACTTGGAGACAGTAACAATTCAAATACAAAATAACAGACTCATTAACAGTGTGCTTTAACCAGCTGGAGAGGAAAGGGAAATTAGCTGAGTTAGCCTACTTGATGAGTTTCCCCATCAATGGAGTTGATTTAGGTCATAGTTTATTAGTAATTGTACTGAACACATATTATGTATTGGACTCTCATACCCTGCAAAGTGCTGGAAATACAAAGGTGTTCCTGGTTCTTGTTCCCAAGAAGCTTTTCATACAGTGTGAAAAATGCTGTGACAGGACACTATAGGAGTATACAGAAGGAGTGACATACCCAAACTGCCAATAATGCCCGTGTTGAATCCTGAAGGATGATTAGGTTTAAAGCATGTGAAAGCTGGAAATAAAGGCATTGTAGACCAAGAGAGTGGCATATACAAAGAGCTAAAGGCAAAAGAGGACATGCCCACTTCTGGAAACTATAAGTAGATAATATGGTAAGCAGGAGTGAGCTCATAAAGAAGTTTGCTGCCATGATAGGAAGTTTGGACTTCATCCTAAAAATTAGAGGAGCTATTAAAGGTTATTAAATGAGAGATTATGTGACCAGATTTGTATTCGAGAAAGAAGACCCAGGCTAGTGCAAAGACTGGATTGGAAAAGCTTAGGTCAGATGTACTAAGACCATGTAAGAGAGTTTTGTAGTGATCAGATAACAAATGAAAAGGGCTTGAACTCTTAAGATTAGTGTCAGGATGGCAATTAGAAGAACTAGTTGAATACAAGAAGTAAAAATGTTTAAGAATATTCAAAGATGATGCCAAGCTTATTGGGTTGCAGAACTGAGGAGACGGAGGTGCTCTTTGTTTTAATGGGATATATAGGAAGAAAGGTTTAAGAAGAAACCTTTTTAATATTGGATATGTTGACCTAACATGACCTAAATCTGTGTTTCGTACTGGACATGTTGAGGTGCATGAGGAAAATTTAGGTAGAGCTATCAGTAGGCGTTGAGTTTATGTATCTAGACTGGAGGAGAGATGTCTGTGCTTGAGACAGAAATTGGGCAGTGAGCTCTATTAAAATGATAGTGAATGTCTTAGAAGGATGAGATTCCCTAAGGCTAGGGTGACCCTGTGATGTATCATCTAAACCAGAACTCTTTTAAAAATAAAAGGGGCCATTAGTCATTATACCAGGACTGCAGGCTCATCCAGGACTGACCAAAGCAAACTGGCATATATTGTCACCTGCTGTAAAGAGAGCCTATGCAATCAAGAGGAGGGCAGGCTAAGGGGGTTTGGCGGGGGTGGCACCTGGGTGGCTCAGTCGGTTAAGCCATTAATCATCTGCCTTCTGTTCAGGTCATGATCCCAGGGTCCTGAGGTCGAGTCCCGCATTGGGCTCCTTGCTCAACAAGGAGCCTGCTTTTCCCTCTGTCTGCCGCTCCCCTTGCTTGTGCTCGCTCGCTCTCTGACAAATAAATAAAATCTTAAAAAAAAAAAAAGAAAGGAAGAAAGAAAGAAAAGGTCAAGGGTAAAATTCTAAAGGAATTTGACAATCTTGGTAACTGGTTAAATAAAGAGATGAGGACAAAAGCTAGGGGTGAATGGGAAGTGAGGAAGTTAAGATAGTGTGGACATTACTTTTAACAAGGTTATTTATAAAGCAGGAGAAAGGGAGATGGAGGGAAAGCAATGAAGGACTGGTTTCTTTTTTTTTTTTTTTTTTTTTTTTTTTTGAGAGACTTGTAAATTATTCCATTGCTTATGTAAGAATCAGGACAAAATGGAATAAAGGATGATTGCTGGTTCCCGAGGAAATAGAACAGGATAGGATTCAGAGCAGAGATGCTAGGGTTAGCCTTAGATGGGAAGGGTGACAACTGATTCTCTTTCCATGTGTAGAAAGAACTGGAGAAAAGGATCTTTTAGAAGATTGTTAGAGGACACAAAGTTGGAGATTTTCCTATCCAGTATCCTCCCCCCCGTATTCTGCGGATAGTGAAGGGAGAGGTGGTGAAATAGGAAACCTAAGGAATGGTGAAGATTTTATATAGTTACTGAGACAGAAATGAAGGAAGAAGCAAATAAGGGATGCACAGAATTTCTGGCTAGTTTTGAACAATTGGTTAAGACTTGGGCATTGTGAATTTGTAGCAAACCAGTTTCTAAAGTTGGTCAGTTTTCTCCAGCATATCTGAACAGCTCTAAGAAAGTATAGCAAGAATAATATTGAATAACAAAATAGTTAAAGGTTTTGCAGTGCAGTAGTTGAAGTGATGAATCATGTGGGTTCTGGAGGGAAGGCCATGAAGACGGTAGGAAGTTGGTAAACCACGAAAAAATTGAAAATTAAAAAGAGTAGAGCTCTAAAGGTAAGCCAAGAATGGGAAAGAATGAGATCCCAAGAAAAGTAATTAGTGGTTAGTCAGTAGCCTGATAAAGAGTTTAAGGTATCAGAGGTGGAGCAAGTTTATGACAAGGTGCAAGAAGTGAACTACAGTTGAATGTAAGTGTGGGTCTTTGAATCAAAGAGCCAAGGAACAATTAGTCTGAGATAAATTATCCATATAGACATTGTCAGCCAGGATGATAGTAGGATTGGAGAAAGACACTGTAAACCAAATACCAAGTGAATGTGAGGAAGCAACCAAGAGTTCAGTTTCATCTACCGAGTGTTTTTTCCAAAGTAATAAATGCATTATAATTTTTTTGTTTTTTAGTACAAAGTGGTTGTTCCCAAAATTGGAAACATACTTGATCTTTGTACAGCATTGTCTGCTTTGTCAGGAGTACCTGCAGATAAGGTAAGGTGTTTCTGGGTTTGAAGTATGTAAGTTGGGAGTTTAGTTTTTCAGTGATGTAAAACCAGCTTAATAGAAATTTATTTCCTTTTAGATGATAGTTACTGATATATACAATCATAGATTTCACAGAATATTCGCTATGGATGAAAACCTTAGTAGTATTATGGAACGGGATGATATTTATGTGTAAGTATAAAATTCATTGTGCAAAATAATACTTGGGAAAAATTTCAGAAGAAATAACATAAAAGTTTTCAGAGTTTATGGTCAGTTTTGTCCTTACAGGTTTGAAATTAACATCAATAGGACAGAAGATACAGAGCATGTGATTATTCCTGTTTGCCTAAGAGAAAAATTTAGACACTCAAGTTATACCCACCATACTGGTTCTTCACTTTTTGGTCAACCTTTTCTTATGGCTGTACCACGAAATAATACTGAAGATAAACTCTATAATCTCCTGCTTTTGAAAATGTGGTAAGTGTCAGACAATTCTACATTAACAAAAGGAATGATAGAATAGTTAATAAAAATAAATGTGCAGTATACTATCAGAGTATGATAAGCTTGTATTATCTCAACTTTGTTTAAACAGATAGCAATTTACAAAATCAAATTATAGTTTAATTCATTTTCTTGATCATGTTAAACACATTACTGAGGTAATTGCAAACCCAGAACGCATGAATTCTTTTAGCTGTTTTAAACCAGAAGTTTACGATTGGAAGAAAATAGGAATTTGTCATGTATGCACTCTGAAATTACAACAAATTTCAGGTGCTTCATTTATTTACACACCTTGCTAGCAAGTTCAAGAACTCCTCCTATAATGGTTTTATTTAAAAGGATAAACTTTGATGGTTGATAGTATTTTAAGCCAACCCCTTTTTTGTCATCCTAAAACCTTGATTTGAATTATAATATAATCAGAACTGCCATTTGATCCCTTTTATTTTATCCTTTGTAACTGACATATTTAGTATTCTTTCTTGCATACTTATTTTAATCATTATAGTCCCATAGCCTATACATAAAGATCCCATTATACAGTGATAAGTGATCTTAGTAATAATACATATATCATCTAAATGAGAATATATAATAATTTTAAGTCAAATTATTTGCCACAAACTTTTAACATAGAAAGATGTTAAAACCCTAGAAGTAACAGATCACCTTCTTTCTTTTTATAAAGACAACCAAAACAGAAATGATTAATCACTTGCACTTATGGTACTATTTCGAGTTTAATTTATCCTTCAACTAAATGACCACTATTATTCCATTAAAAAGGTTTTTTTACTGAAAGAATGGAAAACTTTTTTTAAGTTTTTACCTTCATAGAACTAAATTTGTTTGATTTCTGATTTTATTTAAGCCGATATGTCAAAATATCTACTGAAACTGAAGAAACTGAAGGATCCCTACACTGCTGTAAGGACCAAAATATTAATGGGAATGGCCCAAATGGCATACATGAAGAGGGCTCACCAAGTAAGACTTTCCTTTTAAATTATAAAGCCTTTCACTTGGATTATTGCCTCAAAAAAAAAGAAGATGGGGATTAAGGAACTAAAAAATCTCTTCAAGCCTGGGAAAAATAATGTTAATATTAATAACTTTTAAATGTAATATTGGGTTTATTTTAAAGACTTCTAATATCTAAAATTAGGTGAAATGGAAACAGATGAGCCAGATGATGAATCCAGCCAGGATCAAGAACTTCCCTCTGAGAATGAAAACAGTCAGTCTGAAGATTCGGTTGGAGGAGATAATGATTCTGAAAATGGATTATGTACTGAGGAAACTTGTAAAGGTCAACTCACGGGACACAAAAAAAGATTGTTTACATTCCAGTTCAACAATTTAGGCAATACTGATATCAACTACATCAAAGATGATACCAGGCATATAAGATTTGATGAGAGGCAGCTTAGGCTAGATGGTAAGTGTGAAAACTGGCTTGAACACTGAACTTGAGCAAAGCATGTTGTTATTTTAGGTGAAAACTGTGAAATTCAGGGGCGCCTGGGTGGCTCGGTCGTTAAGTGTCTGCCTTCGGCTCAGGTCATGGTCCCAGGGTCCTGGGATCGAGCCCTGCGTTGGGCTCTGTGCTCAGCCTGGAGCCTGCTTCTCCCTCTCCCACTACCCCCTGCTTGTGTTCCCTCTGTCACTGTCTCTCTCTGTCAAATAAATAAATAAAAAATCTTTAAAACAAAACAAACAAATTCAGCAGTCATGAAAAATAACATTCACTTACCTATATAAAATCTATATTTATATCTTAAATGAAAAGTCTTAATTTCTAAGTATACTAAAACACATCACTGCTTATTAAATGGAGGTTAGACTTACGCTTAAGTTACTATCTTTTTTTTTAACTCCTTAAATTTTTAATGGCTTGGAAACCGCAATTTACCCTGATTACCTAGTGCAAGTAGAAAAGATTGTTTATTCTAGTATATATTTTAACATTAAAATATACTCATTTTAATGAAGGCATATTAAATTTTAAAGAAAAAATATGTTTTCCATCTTAGAAAGATCTTTTCTTGCTTTGGATTGGGATCCTGATTTGAAAAAAAGATATTTTGATGAAAATGCCGCTGAGGTAAGTCATCACTCATTCCGTATCTTTCCCATGTTGATCACAATTTTGTTACACTCTTTTGCTTCTCTACCAAATATGTTTATTTTGCTAGTAAAAAAATGGTTATGTACTAGAAAAGGCTTGTTGGTTTACAAACATGCTTTCTGTTAACAGTTTTAATCATCCATGTAGGTGTGTATATAGAAGTTTTTTTAAAGTGTGGTGTAAATCTCAGCTGAAATAAGCTTTATAATTCTTTTGAGAAAGTTTAGGAGTTTTTCATTACTATTCATAGTAAGATGGTATCACTAAAATGAGTTTTGTTTCATTTGTTCTCTTAACTCAAGAAATACTTCTCTTTAGGATTTTGAAAAACATGAAAGTGTGGAATATAAACCTCCTAAAAAACCCTTTGTGAAATTAAAAGATTGCATTGAGCTTTTTACCACAAAAGAAAAGCTAGGTGCTGAAGATCCCTGGTAAGAGACAAAGTTAAAAAATTACTTCTAATTATTTTTTAAGGATTTATACTGAGGTATGTGATACATCAAGTTTAAAAAGCAGTAACTAAATTCCTTTTGATATTTTAAATAATAAGCATTTCTTTAAGTGATAATAGTCTGTTAAAAGTGATTCAAGGGGCACCTGGGTGGTCAGTGGGTTAAGCATCTGCCTTTAGCCCAGCTCATAGTCCCAGGGTCTTGGGATCGAGCCCTGCATCAGGCTCCCTGCTTGTGCTCTCATCTCTGTTGTATCTCTGTCTCTCTCTCTCAAAGAAATAAATAAAATCTTTAAAAAGAAAAGTGATTCAAATTGTTTAAAAGTATTATTACAATGTTAAGCTTTAATCTCATTACTGTATTCTCTATAGTAGCCATTTTACTATGGATAATTTTAGTTACTTTTCCCAAGAATTTTTTGCTGTGCAGCCGTTTTGATAGAAACATTTTTAGGAAAATCATGTTTTGTGGTGTTATTAATTCCATTAGAGCCCAGAAGTTTTGAGATTTTCTAATACTTATATCTCAACGTAGTTTTGTGTTCTTTTATCTTACTAAAATGTAAATAATCTAGCCTTCATCATTTCTTTGAATACGTATTTACATATTAATTTATAATATTCTAAATCAGTTTGATTTACTGAAGAGAAATATTTATATATATGTCTGGTATATATTAGGCACATAGTAATTGCCCACTGAATAAATGTAAAACTTGCCAAGCATTTTTTTATCTATTATTTTCATTACCTCTAGCAAGCTTTAAATATTTCCCTTTATTTTTAGGTATTGTCCAAATTGTAAAGAACATCAGCAAGCCACAAAGAAACTGGATTTATGGTCCCTGCCTCCAGTACTTGTGGTACATCTCAAGCGATTTTCTTACAGTCGATACATGAGAGACAAACTGGATACTTTAGTTGATTTTCCCATAAAGTAAGTTTTGATTATGCTTTATAAACATTGGGCAACTGTAGGTTCTTATAAACATCAGGTAGCATTGGCTCCAACTTCAGTTTTTGAGTGTATTTGTGAGTAGTTCTAAAAAATTGTAAGGACCAGTAAGAATTTTTATTCCTTTTTAGATATTTTTCAGAGAGCAATGAGAAGATACACCTTTTTAAACAACAGAATAAAAGTAATTCTGTATTACATTATTATATGGGTTCATTGGCACGGTTTATAAATCTAGATATTCTGTGGGATCGTAGTGATTTTATTTTTCCTAGGAATTATTTCATCATTAATCATCAATTATTCCTAAGTATGCTTTTTAAAAAAGACTGAAGTTATATGAAACAGAATAATGTAATTGCTTAAAAGAATGACACAGTAATCAGTCATCCCTGTTGTGTCTACTTCCGTTTATTGCATTGTTCAGAGTACCACATCATTTTTGTAAAAAGTCTGGAGACAGCATCTTTGTAGTCTTTTTTTTTTTTTTTTAATAAAGCTTTCACTAAATTTGGGAGCCTGGGTGGCTCAGATGGTTAAGCATCTGCCTTCAGCTCAGGTCATGATCCCGGGATCCTGGGATCAAGCCCCGCATCGGGCTCCCTGCTCCTTGGGGAGCCTGCTTCTCCCTCTGCCCCTCTCTCTCTCTTTCTGTCTCTCATGAATAAATAAAATCTTTAAAAAAAAAAACTTTCACTAAATTTAATTGAGAATTCGTAAGGACAGAATTGAAATTGTATATTCTCGTTCACATGGTCCAGGAAGGACTTCATCACACAATATTTTGCATCGCACAATAACTTGCTACTCTCCCATTTTGCTAAAAGAACACTGATAGTATTCTTTTATATTTTATATTTGTGTATGAAGTGTTTGATACATTTAATAAGTAGACAACTGCCATAGGCAGGTGTGTGGGATTAGAAGGAAATGGATGTAATATTGAAAACATTCTTTGGATTTCTTATTTCTGATTAGTGTTTACAAAATTAAAAACATTTTGCAGTTTTTTACCAGAAAAAAATGGTAATTTTCTCCTTAACAAAATTATGAGCCACCAAAGTTTTCTCAAGAATATAGCATTTAAAAAAAAGAGGAAGAATATTAACATTTTGACAGTTTAAGTACAAGAAGAACCACAAGTAATGATAAGCTGGAATCTGTGAGAGATATATTTGAGATTTAGAATCATTATTGCTCTTTAATGATGCAAGTCCAAAAAAAACAAATAATGATAAGCTAGAAAATGGTCATGTTCCAGTTTCATGCATGACAGATTACAAACATTTGGTTGCATTTCAAAGAATGTTGCCCACTTGGGGGTATATAGATCGTCAGAACCAGGAAAATGTAGAATAAATGTTGGGGTTTAGATATATCTCTTTATTATAAGATTTCTGTGAAAGCTGTTTTTCGCCATCATTTATTCTTCCTTAAATGCATAATTACTAAAAATGACTTCAAAAATATGAAAAATTAAAAGGGTTCCAATGGCAAATGGTGATGACTCTTTTACTATATACTGAGAGTTAAATGTATTAACATAAAAACATTAATCTGAATAAACAGCAGTCAGTAGACAATTTTAAAATTTCCAACCCCTAAGAAAAATTTTGCCAAAATACTCAAATCTCAGAGGTGTGTGTGTATGTTTGTGTGCGTGTGCATGTGTGTGCATGTGTGTATATATATATATATCACATATATATGTGTGTGTTTTACAGTTATTTGTATATATATGTTTTATATATATATATATGTTTTACAGTTATTTGACTCTTAGTGATTTCTTCAGTGAGAGAGATATTTTTTATATAAATGAGAGTCAAGCAACATTGACAGAAGATAGTAGAATTCATGACATTTAGGGAAAAGGTAAAACTAACTTGATCTCTCTGTTAAACAGTGACCTGGATATGTCGGAATTCCTAATTAATCCAAATGCAGGTCCTTGTCGCTATAATTTGATTGCGGTTTCCAACCACTATGGAGGGATGGGAGGAGGACACTGTAAGTTGACAGTTTACCATTTTGCTAAAATCATGATGTTTGATAACTGCAGACTTTTTCCTTAAGATAGTTATTACTTAAAGGGAAAATGTAGGGTTCCTGGCTGGCTCGGTTGGTAACATGTGACTCTTGATCTTGGGGTTGTGAGTTCGAGCCCCACATTGGGTGTGGAGCCTACTAAAAAAAGAAAAAGGGAAAATGTGAAATGTGTTTTACATATAGTAATTATCAATAAGTGTTAATTAATGAATTAGCTTTTGAACCTTTTTTTTTTTTAACATCAGGAATAGAGAATTGACTTGATCATACTTCTCAGTTTAATGCATGGAACATCACTCATCAGGACTCCTGTCCTTTTCCATTCTCCTTCCCCTTTCCCTTCCTAAAGTACTTGATGTATGTGTTGTTATAAATCATGCATCGTTATTAATTTTTACATAATAGGTATACTGTGTTATAGATCTTACATTTTTCTCATAACGCATAAGACTTATCCATGTTACTTTGTGTCCATTTAGTTCATTGCTTCTAACCACTCAGGACTTACATCTACCATATTTTAGCTCTGTACTCACTTCATGGTGGACATCCAAATTGCCTTTAACTTTCTACCACCATAAGACTGATAAACACCATTGTTTATGGTCCCCTCTCTGAGAATTTCTTTGAGCAACATACCCAGAAGTGAGATTGCTGGGTTATAGAGTAAGTACTGCCAGATGGCTCTTCAGGACAGTTAACACCAGTCTACACTCTCCAGCTGATAGATTTTTCTGTTGAACTATCTTTGCATTCCTGGGATAAACCCAACTTACCTTTTAAGGTGGTTTTTTTTTTTTAATGTATAATTTTGTATATTAAAAAAAATTCTTTTTTAATTCCCAGTTGAATTTGGTTAATTTTAGTGAGGGTTAAAATTTCATTCATAAGTGAAATGATCCTAATTTTTTATATTGTTCTTTCTTTGGAATCAAGATTACAGTCTAATAATAAACAGGCTGGGATACTTTATTCTTTTTCTGTATCCTAAAGCAGGTAGCATAGTATAGGAATTAACTATTCATGAAAGGCTAGTAGAATTCACTTGTAAAATTATCTGGGCTTCACACCCACAAATTTTTCTCTTTATCTCATGCTTATTGAAATCTATTCAGTTTTATTTTTCCCAAGATGTATGCATTATGGCATTTTTCTATTTTTCTAAAAATGTATCTGTGTTTTCCACTTTAAGAATAGTTACATTTAATACCATTATGCTATATCTTTGTCCCTTTTTTGTTCTTCTGTTTTCTTCTTAGTCTTTTCCCAGAGGTCTATCTTACTAATCTGTTCAAAGAATTAGGTTCCACTTTATTAAATTTTTCTTTTTGTTATTACATATGTATTCTCTCTCATTGATTTCTTCTCTTCCCTTTGTTATGTTTTTCTTTTTGTTACTTTGAGGTTGCTCTGTTGCTCTATTTAACTTTTGATTTGAATGCTTTATTAGCTTTTGCTTTACATTTTTACATTTCTTTCTGTTGAAGGCTATAATTAAAGCTATAAATTTCCCTCTAAATACTGCTTTATCTTAGTTACATAAACTTTTTAATGTAGTATTTTCATCTACTTTTAATTCTGTATGTGTTTTTAATTTCCTTTATGATTTTCTAATTAGTCCAGGGCACTTAATCATATACTTTTCCAAACATATGTTTTTTTTAAAGCTCTCCTTTGGGGCACCTGGGTGGCTCAGTCGTTAAGCCTCTGCCTTTGGCTCAGGTCATGATCCCAGGGTCCTGGAATCGAGCCCCACATCGGGCTCCCTGCTCAGCAGGAAGCCTGCTTCTCCCTCTCCCACTCACCCTGCTTGTGTTCCCTCTCCCACTGTGTCTTTCTCTGTCAAATAAATAGATAAAATCTTTTAAAAATTTTTAAAAAATAAAGCTCTCCTTTTGTCTTAATTTTACTTTTATTACATAACAGTTGGAGATATTGCCTATATTATATTAATCCTTAGTTTATTAAAGTGTCCATGTATTGTCTGTTTCTTAAATGTTTACGTGCTTGAAAAACATACATAGTCCCCATCCAGACATAGAATTCTGTTTTTCTCTTATATTTGAAACTTATCAGTTATATTCAGCTATTTGCTGTCTCTAGTTAATTTTATATTTTGTTATATTTCTGAGAATTTTGAGGATTCTTATTAAAGTGTTGAATTATCTGTTTCTACTAACAGTTTTATTAGTTGTTTTGCATTATTTCATTTATGTTTAAAATGGTAGCTCTTCTTTCTCGTATTATTCCTTTTACCAGTATTTGATATATTTTTTCTTTTGGTATCACTTGGTTCACAAACTCTGGGTGCCTTTTTGTTAGATTTGTCTCTTATAAACCATTTTATTGCTAGATCTTGTCCTTTTATTCAATGTTTAATTGTGGGTACAGTGGTCTTCAGTTCAACTGACAAACTTACAACCCACAATAGGCTCCACCCAGAAGAGCAATAATTTTGTTTTGTGAGAGGTAGAACATTTAGAAGCTATGACAGCAGATAATTATTTTGCAGACATTTTGCAACTCTGTTTCCTCAGTTATTGGATAGTTCAGAGGTAGCATGGAATGTGTAAAGGGGGCATTTTTAACTTTTAAAGATAAAGCAAATCTTTAAAAATTGTACAGGTAAATTACTTTTTATTTTTCTCTTGTTCAATACTTTTGTTAAAGACTGAAAAAAATTTTGGTGTAAAAACTACAAATTAATGGGATAGTATTATTGAAAAAGTATTTGTTGTACAAAATTTAAATTATTAAAATGTCAAACTCTAGAGTCAGAGACAGGCCTGGGTTTAAATGCTAACTCAGCCACTTAACAGCTTTACTGTTACATATTAAACTTCTCTTGATGCCTCAGTTTCCCCATTTCTAAAGTTAGAGGCATAATAATACCTTCTCTATGAGATAGTACATGTAAAGTACATAGCACTATACCTGGTCCACAATAAGCACTACATAAATATTAATTCCCATTTATTGTCATTAGTATTATTCTGTGAACTGAAAAATAATAAATCTATTCTGTTTGTCCTTGGGAAGAAGAAGTCAGATTTCGACATATTTGAAAAGTATCTTACGCATTTAGATTGTAGGAAATACATTAAAACCTTTAATCAATGGAATCAGTTGAATGTATAATAGATAGGCCTTATGTATATGATTGTCATGTAATTTTAATATGTATTCCTTATATAGATGATTGTAAAGTTTTACGGGTTCCCCCCAGGAAACCATAGACTTTTCAGTCACAGAAGTGATTATATTTTTTCATTAGATACTGCTTTCGCAAAAAATAAAGATGATGGAAAATGGTACTACTTTGATGACAGTAGTGTCTCAACTGCGTCTGAAGACCAGATTGTGGTAAGTGTGTCTTTATTTCCTGAAAATCACAGGATCCACTTTTTTAAAAGCGCCCATGGAACACTACAGTCTATATTTTAGCAATTTCTAATAGTTAAGAGACACTTTCCCTGATTTAAAGAAATGTAAAGTTGTCCTCTAAGTGGAAATTTGTCTCCAGACTTGCCCACTAACAGAAGCATAAATTGCATCATGAAAATTTTTCTGGTAGTTTTCAACATGAAAAATGGAGTTTTCTAATGAAAATAATAAATTTTTCCTTTGGAAGATAGGTTCAGACATTTTGGGACATTGACTACTTAAAATTAGAGTACTAAAATAGAAAAAAAAATTCTTTAAGGGCCTCCTTACCATACCTATGATTTTTAAAATAAAGTCTTATCCTTTGTGACACTTAAACATTTAAACTCAAAATTACATGATTAGATTAAACAAATTAGAGGATTTTTTTTAAAAAATTAACCTTGAGTATCTGTTACTTTGATATTTTCTGAATAGTTTATCAGCCATAGCTGGAGCCAAAATATTGACATTTGTTTTGCTTCCCAGCAGAGCATATTTTTATTATCAAATATTGATTGGTGAGAGGATGACAAGTTTATTCTAAGAAAAAAGCTAAGACTTGGCTTAATAAGGGTTTATTTTTCTATTAAAGTTTGCCTTTCTAAAATTTTACTGTTTGATCACAATAGTACAAAGAGTGAGAAATGTAGTATTTGCTCCTGTGAGCATGCAGCTCATATTTCCCATTTAAATTTTATATTCTTTGAGGACAGAGACTAGCTTTTTCTTTAGTTTGTAATGCCTTAAGAGTCTTCAACTTATATTGTTCAGTTTAATAAATTAATAAACTTCTGAACCCAATTATTGGCATCATTTTAATCCATCATTGGGTGAACAGATATGAAATAATTTTGAGTTGTTTCTCTACAGATATTTTATATATTTATCTACGGGTGTATATGTATTATGTACTGTTCCTTAGCTCCCTATAGCTATAACACAAAACAAAGAGACTTGAATGCTAATATTTTTAAATTATGTATGTACCTAAGTTAATTACATTTCCAGTTTATAGTTAGACTTCTAATTTCAAGTCTCAGCCATCACTTTTCAATTCTGTTCTTCTCTCTAAATCTCCCAACCAAAACATCCTGAAATTGTCTACAGTGATGATACTTGATTTAGTCAACAAGTATTTGAGTACCTTCTTTATATAGGACTCAATTCTAAACAGGATTAAAAGACAGCTGTCTCTGACTTCAAGAGGCTTAACCCCAAAGATGACAGAGAAGTAAATTAACAGTTATATCATAAATACTATTAAACATCTTGACTACATGGAAACAGGACAGCCATCTCTCCACTGATTTAGGGTTTAAGGAGATAGGACCAGTGAGGGAAGTTTGCATGAGAAAGTGGTGTTTGACCTGAGTCTGCAACTTTACAAATGGAAGTAAATTAAACAAAAGAAGTAAAGGTGTTCTAAGCAGAGAAAACAGTACCTACAAAAGCAAGGAGGCATGACAGAACATGATATTTAGGAAAAGAGCAAATAATTTGGTATTACTGAAAGGACATAATTGTTAGGGGCAGAAATTAGGCTAAAGGTAAACTTGGCAATCAGATCAACATTCTTCACGGTTTAGAGCTTTTCTTAAAGACTACGAGAAGCATCGGTGATTTTTAAGCAATAGAACATTATTAAATTTGGAAGGCACTGAGAAAAGAAGCAGAAAGAAGGCTCATGTCATTTCTGCAATACAAGCTTCTAAATTTAAAGTTGTGGTAGTAATGTATAGACAAGGGGAAATGGATTTATAAGATACTTCCTGGATAGAATTAATAGAACTTGATCAAGATTGGATATAAATGAAGACGTAGAAATGCAAAGAGGGAGAAGTTGAAGATGACTTACTTCAGCATTTACCACGATAGGAAATATAGGAAGAAAATTTGCTGTTGAAATTTGAGCTACCTATATGATAGCTCTGGGGAAATTTCCACTAGGGAGTGGGACTAACAGGACTAGAGTTTAGGAGTGAGAACTAGCTTAAGTTATAAATTTGCATTATTATTCTTAGGTAGCAGTTGAAGCCATAGGTTTGAATGAGTCACCTGGTGAGTAAATACAGATAGAGAAAGAGGTGGTGGGCAGAAGACAGAACATGATTTTTTTTTTAAGGTTAGGATTTAATGAGCCCACAGAAAAGTCAGAAGCAACCATGGAGATAGAAGATCTAAGGAAAAGTAGTGTCACAAAAGCCAAAAATTATTTGATGCAGGAAAGAGGAGGAGTAAAGCATTAAATGCTACAGAGAGATTGGCTAAAAGAACTTTAAAAAGCACCCATTTAATTTGTCTGTAGCAGGTTATTGCCCCTAGTGAAAGGGATTTCATTAGAATGATTGGAGCGGCAGATCATACTGAATTGAGGAGTGTGCATGAGAGTGAAAAATGAATATTCGACGACTGCCAGCCTGGCAGCTAGAGGAAGGCGGTAGAATGAGGAGGGATTTAGGATGGGAAAAGACTTGAGTATTTATTAGGCCAAGAAGTCCAGTAGATAAGAACTTACTAAAGATACATGGTGATGATGAATGGAGCAATATCCTTAAGACAGTAGGAAAAGCTGGACTCTAAAGCAAACGTAGAGTGAAGCGATTAGTATTAGAAACAAGCTTAAATTTTCCTTAGAGACGGGAGGGAAGAAGGCATAGAATTGTTTCATGTTAGAGTAACTAGGTTAATCTATGATATAGTTGCATTTACTTACCTGTTCAACGTAATAGAGAATAAAAATGTTAATTCTAGTGACTATTCTTCCTTTATATATAGAAGGCATCTTATATTTAAACCAATTTTAGTAACTTCCATTTGACCATGTGTGGTTTTTCTATTTAATTTATGCCCTGTCACCAAAATCAGTTACATAGCTGAAAAGTTCATAGTATGCTTAATGTGATCTTTGAGAATCATGACCATTTTAACATGCTTTGTTTATTTCAACAGTCCAAAGCGGCATATGTACTCTTCTACCAGAGACAGGACACTTTCAGTGGAACTGGCTTTTTTCCTCTTGACCGAGAAACTAAAGGTGCTTCAGCTGCCACAGGCATCCCGTTAGAAAGTGATGAAGATAGCAATGATAATGACAATGATATAGAAAATGAAAACTGTATGCACACTAACTAATGAAAGTCCTAGAAGCCATAAAAGAGAGACTTTCCTGCTGGTGGTATCTATTGAAATGATGAAGTTACCCACCACATTAAACAAAAGTCTGAGATGGGGAGTTTCAGATAACCGAATGTAAATCCTTTATCAGATTTTAACTTGTGCAGTACTTGAAGTGAAACACAATGAAAACTTTAACAGAAATTGTCTCTTAATACATTTGCAGTCTTGTAATTACAAGCTAAATATATATAGGAAATCACAAATAAACCCCTTTTAAGTTTGCTGCTGTTTTGATGAATTATGTTTTCTTTAATTTTTTGGATGTGAGTTAATTGATGACAAATGTTAAATTTGTGGATGTTGGTCATTTATTTTGCTCTAAAAATACTGCAAGAAAACTATGGCTGAACTTAGTTTTTGGATTATCTAGTTCATGTGCATTAGGCTGCCACATGTATTACTATGATATTTAGCTGCGGTATCAATGTGGCATAAATACTGCAGGAGTATTCTTGGAAAACCAAATTTTAAAATCTATTCCTGGTAATCAACATGGGCCTATTAAAAAACCAAATCATGATATAAGAAACAATCTTGGAAAAGTTATTTTCTTTTGTAGTATCATTAAAAGTCCAGAATATTATGTTCATCTTCTGCTGTGGAAACAGGTTCTAGATATCACACTCCATCTAAAATCATTTTTCAGTTGAATGTAAGTATTTTTTACTGCTATTGGGATCTATTCCTTAGATATTAAAAAATTTTTTGACTTGCTTTAAAAATGCATCTCTTTAATCTGGTGTTGGTCCAAAATTAAAATTTTTGCTGTCTGTTTTTCTCTACCCCATTTTTTGGTAATTTGGCAACTTTTAGCTCTTCCAATTATTGTAATATAAGGACAGACTTAATAGTATTCTGTATCCATAGTAATAATTACATCAAGCTTAAATGAGAAATTTTTTTCATATACTGGCCTTTAAATCATTAATGGACCATTGGCTTTAAAGGTAGGTCTGTTAACTTTCTTTGTGTGTTCCTGATGGAATTCACCATAGCCTTACAGCTTTTCTCAGAAGGTAACTTGTTATAAGAAAATTGGCATTTGCATGTTCTAGAGTCAGAACCTGTATAGTATATAAAGCATACAAACCTTGAATTTGATTTTAATTCACCACATTCAAGGATCCAGGATGCCAAAAATATGTGTGAACATTTGAAACATTTTTCATTTGCTGCTTTTTCCCTTTAATCTAGTTGAAAGAATGTATTGTCGATTGGCATACAATACTGCCTTTAATAGAAAATCTAAATGCTGGGGCACATTTCACATATCGACTACCTGAGAAATTGCTTTGTGTCCCACTGTTATTAAAGCAAAAAGTATAATGTTCTTCACTTGAACTAATCAAATACAATAGATTATAAATTGTGTATTGTAAATAAAAGTTCACTCTGTGAGTGCACATTTTGGTAAATTATTTATTTATGTTAGCATTTAAAAGTAAAAAGAAAAAAATGCATTTGACCAGGATAAATGAGGTATGTTGATCATGGCTTTGCTTTATACCTTGATATTAAAGCTGGTTTTTTCATCCTGGTATTTTAAAAGCTGCTTTGGTTTTTTTTTTTTTTTTTTTTTCCTTTCTTTTCTTTCTTTTTCTTTTCTTTTCTTTCTTCTTTTTTTTTTTAATGTAAACTAACCTCTTGCATGACAGAGGTTAAAATTTTGTCTGCACTTGAGTTCACTTGAGTTTACATTTGAAATGTGCATGTTTATTTATACAGATTTCAATAAAGCTATTTAAGGCCTTATTTAGTCTTTTATTTCTTACTCTGAATCTTTTGATAAAACCCCCCTATTTTGTGGGTAGGTGACTATATGGTAGGCTTTTTAGTTATCGTATAATTAAAGATAGGAAAGCATGTCAAAGTAAAGCAAATCCTCTTAAGGATGTGTTTCAAAGTTCATTTTTTAATTTAAATATTCATTAAACATTTGTGCACCTACTAATCACTCCTCTGTAGTCTTGGGATAGAGCTGTAAACAAGCATCCCTCCACTCACAGCTTGCAGTCTTTCTGCTGTCTACCTACTAATAGACTTTCCATTTTTCTGAGGTTTAAAGAAAAACCAAAATTAACTTCTTCCAGCCCTGGATTGTAGTCTCCACCACAGTTGTCCATAGAGACCCATTTCTTTTTAATGCCTGCAATTAACTTTTATTCCCACTAAACAAAGTGTTTTAAAATAGAAAATGATGTTAATAATGCTGTTGAATTTGTCAAACTCAAATGACATTGTCAGCTGCAAAAAAAAAACACCTAAAAATAGTGCAAAAGGCTAATCCATACTTAGATATTCATGTAATAAGGGTTGTAGGAATGTAGCCAGTCTAGAATTCTACTGTTAGCTTTTCTACTTAGTAGTCATATGACTTGGAATTTAATCTCCCCCAGTATGTTTCTACACCTGTAAAATTATAACAATAATAGCACTATTGAGCACTTAAAATGGACCAGGTAGTGTATTAAACTGCTGTATGTAGTATCTCATTTAATCCCATAGTAGCTATGAGGTAGAGAGACCTTCATCATCACTGATTTTCATTTGGAGAAACCAAGGTACAAAGCAGTTACTGTTCCCAAGTTCACATAATTACTATGTGGTGGAGCCAATATTCTATCCTCAGTTCTGTATACTACCTCCTATTTTGTTATAGTGTCTGCTTCACAGGATTGTTGAGATCTCAAGTGAGATAATGTATTTTATGGAAAGGTGCTTTGTAAACTATGTGGTATACTCATTACTGATTTTAAATTTAATACAGCATTTTTTTCCTTGTTTATCTAACTCAAGTATGCCCTTGTTTACATTTCCCCAAATGCAACCCTAATTTTCAGGACTTTTTTCTTCACCTATAATTTAGTTTTAATTAATCTCTGTGCAAAAGCTACAGCTTAATACTTTGTTTAAAGATCTTGCTTTCTCTTATAGTCTGTTCTTTCTAGCAGTCCTATATGTATCCTTGCTTTCCTGGCAACTCACTATAAAACCACACAAACCATTGATTTGGGCATGAAGAAAATGAGTAACTATTGATTGATTCTGTATAAGGACAGCACTTTCTCATCAACTAATCTCATTGAGGTAAGGACATTTTATAAGAAATAAGCCAAGAGACTATAAGAAAAGATGAGGTGAGTCTCTTTCATTGGCTTACCAAAGGGGCAGGGGGTGGGGCATCTGCAGGTTAGAACCTTCCACCCCAGAGGAATTGACACTATCGCTGGTGCATGGTGAAAATAAAAAGCAGGCCAACTTTTAGTCGGTTTTTTGTTTATGTCCTTTTTTTTTTTTTTTTAATTTATTTTAGAAAAAGTGGGGAGAAGGGCAGAGGGAGAGAGAATCCCAAAGCAGACTCCCCGCTGAGTGTGGAGCCCAACAGGGGCTCCATCTCACAACCCTGAGATCATGACCTGAGCCAAAATCAAGAGTCAGCTGCTCAACTGACTGAGCCACCCAGGCGCCCCTATGTTTATGTTCTTTATAGACAATGCATTTCATAACTGCCTTCTTCCCACCCTCCCTTCTTGGTATGCTTCTGATCTTTGCTTGTGCAGTATAGATTAGCACATTCTCTTTAAGTTAGTTTTTAAGATTCAAAAGTAGAAAATTCTTGATTATGAGGGGAAAGAACTAGAAATCCTATAAAATCTCAGAAAATAATTTCATTTCTGGAGCCAAGAATAGTGAAAATCTTTCTTTGTATTTTTTACTCTACGATAAAATTTGTTTTTCTTTGAAATCACTTCTCTTGAAAATATGATTACGTTGATAATTCCCAAATAATTCTTTTAATGGCACTTAAAAATGCCAAAAGAGAGGGGGGAAAGGCGAATATATGGATATCCTTGCTGACTTACATATGAAGTTGCAGAGCTGTACTATATTGTTTTGTTATCAGATTTTTGCAATGAGAAATATATGTAACTTTCTTATAAGCATTTTAGATTGTGGAACATTTCAGTTAGATATGTATGTTTTTCATATGTTTAATTCATATTTACTATATATTAAGCAAAAAAATTCCAAACAGCTCAGACAATAAAACTTTCATTTAAAAAATAAACTCGAATTTTTATAAGCTGTGTAAAGTAGGTTTTTAAATATCAGCTCAGAATTACGTTCAATTTTGAGCCATGTATCTATGTATGAAGTTAAAATGTACATGGTAAAATTCATACATTGATCAAGACTTATTTGCAGTAAGATGGGGTAAAGAATTTTTTAATGGGTAACATAGGGAGTACAAAAATTATTTTTGGCAAATATATGCATTGGGAAACATACTTACCCCACATCATACCATAATCTAATTATATTCCAACTCTGCCTTTTGAGAGCCTGGAAATTGCAAGGGTAATGAAAGGAAAAGACTCTAGGTTATTAAGGGAATCTAGAAAGTAGATAAACCATTTACGAAAATCAAGAGTTAATATTTTGGACTAGAGTCTCAAAGGACAGGGAGAAAATCAAATAGATTTTGATGTCTTTTTTTCTAGAAATGTCTGTTGAATTCGTGATTGTACAAAGCAGCTAAAAATACAGCTATCTCTTTGGTAATTGTTCTTTTAAATGGAAATCCTGTAAAAAGAAATATTTTCAGTATCTTCCAGTATACACAAAATCAAATATTTTAAATGTTTATACTTTTGGTAATTAACTATGTTCTACTGTATAAAATCATGGTTGATGATGGTGCTCATTTTGCTCAAAATTTCCTCATATCAGGAACTTGTAGCTTGTTCTATATAGTTTGGTGAAACAAAAAATAGTCTCATTTGCTGTGACCTTCCAAATCCATTGCTAGCTGGAGTTAAATCTACATACATAAAAATAAAACAATAAATATGGAACCATCCCAACAGTCTTTTCCCATTATGTGTATTCTTACCTTTTTCTCAATAATGACAAATTCTTATAAATTTCCCAGATTTGTTTAAAAGCTTAAGTATCACTTTTTTTTCATTCTTAGTTAAAATCTCTCAGGATTCTTAAACTTTGTAACATCTCAAACAACTCTCTCATTAAAACTTTTATTACAGTATTTGCTTTTCTTTTAAACTTTGTAAAGGAACATTGGAGCTTCATTGATTCTTAGATATGATTCAAATAATTTAGACTCACATACTAAAGTACCTCACATATGTCTGGCCTTCCGTGTGTGCCTTCACTGTTTCTTCTAGCCTGCTTTCTTCTGACCTTGAATTCTCCCGATAAGCAAGTGCAAGTATTTCATTTTCTTTATAGTGATAACCATCTTCCATTATATGAAGTGGTGAATTATCAGTGTCCTGAAACAATTAAGAATTATTTTAGAATTGCCCTCAGTTGCGAAAAACGAAAAAATAAATTGTAAATATAGAAAAATTATAGTACATTTTTTTTAATTTGAGAAAGGATTCCTGTACAACTTTTAAATATTGAGTGACTTTAATAAGATAAACTCTTCAATTTAAAAAGCTCAGTATTATGTTCAATTTTGAGCCATGTATCTATGTATGAGTTGAGATAATACTGCATATTGAAACAGTAAGCATCAGTAGTTACAGATACTCGGGTCGTATATTTGTTGTGAGACAGTGAGATATGGTAAGGAACATTCTATATTTAGAACTATTTTCTAAATAAAGTCTAAAGTCTCTAAAGTCATTAGCTGCTTTTTTTTTTTTAAGATTTTATTTATTTAACAGAGAGACACAGCGAAAGAGGGAACACAAGCAGGGGGAGTGGGAGAGGGAGAAGCAGGCTTCCTGCCAAGCAGGGAGCCCAATGCGGGCCTCGATCCCAGGACCCTGGGATCATGACCCGAGCCGAAGGCAGATGTTTAACGACTGAGCCACCCAGGCACCCCAGTCATTAGCTTCTGATTTTCAGTTTTCTCAACCATAAAATGATACCAGTTTCTTGCAAGGAGGTAGTGGACGTGTAGGTGTGAACTTTCAGGTTTTACAAAATAGGACAGTATTTTTTACCATGGACAACTAGAATGTTGTATCATCGCTCATGAAAGACTTCTTAAATGGAAGGCTCACTTCAGCTTTTGAAATTATTGTTGAAGTATATATTTTTAGCTAAAGAATAACCAGTAGGTTAGGCCAAATTAAAATTTGTGGGTTTTTTCATTTGTTTTAGATCTTTCTCCTAGCTCCTGTAAGACAGAGCAGAAGTATTAGTGTGATGGTAAGCTTGAAAATTAAAATTTTATCATGGATACTGGAATACATACTAACAAATAACGATTTTTAAAGCTATTTGTGAATATAACTTCATAGCTTTTACATTAACTTTTTATTTTTTTAGAGGAGGGAGAGGCAGAGGGAAAAAGTCTTAAGCAGGCTCCAGGCCCAGTGCAGAGCCCAACATGGGGCTCGGTCTCACAACCCTGAGATCATGACCTGAGCAGAAATCAAAAGTCAAGACGCTTAACTGGCTGAGCCACC